CGGTGGGAAAAAGACCCAACAAAAAGAAAAGAAGAGACTGTAACTGTATAGAAGTAATTTGGGGGGAAGAAAAAGTACATCAAAATGACCAAGGCAAACAAGAGTGAACTGGTGGGAGACAAATTGTTTACTGCAATCATTGTACTTTCTTATTCCAGAATGAAGTCACTTCCCCATCCCTAAGAGCTGCCTGCTCTTCCTCAAGATAATCGACTTAAGTGAAATGAAAGAATCATGATCCTTGATGGCACACAAAGCAATTCACTGGAAGCCATTAAGTTATGACAGAAAAAAAAAGCTGAGAAGAATGAAAAAAAATCCTCCACTCAATCCCGTGAAGAAAAACAGTGAAACAAGCGTAAAAACTGGGAAGTTCACATGCAAAGATATTCTGAGAAAATGTTGAACATTAATTCTTATACTATACGGGACACAAAGAGTACAGGGGATAAAAATACTCCCAAATATCTGTTCTGTCTGATGTAAAAAATTCAGTCACAGAAAAATAAGAATACACAAAAACAGAGACAAATTACCCGTGTATTGGTCTATCCTAAGGGTCAATAAAATCTGTTTGAATACCTAACCAGAAAATGAAGACTATCATTTACAGAGCTAATTATCAGAATAACTCCACTGTCAATATCTGATGATGACCAATACATCCCCAGAGGAGAATATTTCGTAAGCGAAATAGAAGAATTAAAAGTTAAGATGACTTGAGGCTTCTGCTGTGGCTGATTAGACCAATTCTGCCAGAAAACTTATGCGGTGACAAGTATTGGTGAGAAATCTATGAACAATCATGACCATGATGTCTATCAAAACGTGTGACTAGGAGGAAGAGATACACCTGCAAACAACATCTACTGCCTTCATTCACTCTTCCCATGAGGTTTTCATCAATTAAGTACAATGACATAATACACCTGAATGCCCAACAAAGTTCAGAATACACCCCTTTCAAACCAACACAATAACTTATGATTTTACAGAGAAAGCAAAAGAACACAAACTACTTCTACAGAAATCATTTTATAGGTGAATTTTTCACTGTGCTGGTGACCACTTTGCCCAGTTTCGTCAACATCCCGCTACCTTGCCACTCCGCCTCACTCTGATCGTTCACACGGAAGTCCGGCTGAAAGTTTAGAAAAGTTTTAGTTTCAGTAAGTGTTTTACGGCACTTGCAACACAATAAGGTTATATAAGTGCCGAAGATTAGAGGTGTTACAAGAGAGTAACAAACACAAACTAGAAGGAGGGAAGATAAGGATAATACATGTTTGTTACGAAAGAAGGAGCAAACCACACCAGAGCACCCGCCAACCACACACAATTCTATAAAAGAAAGAAAAGAAAAGAAAGGGAAATGACAATGCAATCAAAAGCGCACACAACATGATGTTACTTCCGACAAAAAATTAGAATTAAATTGTCTATTATTAGAGTTTGAACTAAACATAGCTAAAATACGAAAACTACACCAATGAGAGGACAAGGTTTCATTTTGTTTGTTTGAGTTTAACTCTCAACAAGGCAGAACATTGCTGCAACAAGAAACAGGTGTACCATATACAGTTGGGGGGTGGGGGAGGGGAGGGAGAGGGAAAACAGGAGAACCATGTATATATCCCAGCACTGCAATTTCTATACAGAATTCTAATTCTATCTATAATGATCATGACAATAGGGACCTGCCACTACAGCAGGCAAGTAATCAACAATCCACTTATTGCCCTCCTAAACCACTTTTGGGGGAAACTACGGGAGAAAACAAGATGAGAAACAAAACCATCTATTCCTTTATTAAAACTGCACTTAATATTGAACCTTTGAAAAGGATCTTCTCACATGTAATCGAGTGCGGGTCAACGGGGTCCTCCTCAAGTCCCACAAAGTTTCCCCAACCAGAACTATTCCGCCCCTGAACTTTGTCCTTACCTGCAACTTCTCCCAAACTTTCTTCTTGGGATTGAGTTTCTCGTCGGGCTTGCCGTCCTGGTAGCCATCGATGAAGACGCGGTCGCCAGGAGCGCTGCCCTCGGGTGGCACCAGTGGCTCCACCTGGCGGGGGTCGTCTCTGAGGACAGCGAACAAACAGCAATATAGTGGGGCAACAGCGACAGTGGGCAACACGCCGTAAGCAACACCAACACACTATATGTGTCACGATGCGGTGGAATCAGGCGCTTGTCAATTTTTGGGGCATGTGGAGTTAATGGTACCATCTTAAATATTGCTCATTCGTCTTGCATGCGATTTTAAAAAATGCCCAACTGTCTTGAATAGACATGTAGCAGACCTGCCACTCTATGAAATCTAAAAATCAGGATCTCAAGGGGAAAAAATGGGGATCTGGAGACAAAAATCAAGATCAACGATAAATCAGGGCAGGGTGACTGCCAATTGGACTTTTAAAAATATTCCAGGGATGTCCATAAATTTATGAAGGCAGAGTAAATTTTTAGAAAATCTGGAGCAACAGACGGTACAAAGAAATTGGGATACACATGATCGAATTCAGGATGCTTGAGATTTGGGGCAAAAAAAAATTGGAATATCCCGATTAAATCGGGATGAGTGGCAGGTCTGCATAGAGGCACAATTCCTGAATAAACAACCAATTTCAAGGACAATTCCTGAACAATTCCTGAACTTACATAGAGACACAATTCCTGAACATACATAGAGACACAATTCCTGAACATACATAGAGACACAATTCCTGAACTGACATAGAGGCACAATTCCTGAATTAACATAGTGGTACAATTCCTGAACTGACATAGAGACACAATTCCTGAACTTAGATAGAGACACAATTCCTGAACTTACATAGAGACACAATTCCTGAACAACTTACACAGAGACACAATTCCAGAACTTACATAGAGGCACAATTCCTGAACTTACATAGAGACACAATTCCTGAACTTACATAGAGGCACAATTCCTGAACATACATAGAGACACAATTCCTGAACTGACATAGAGGCACAATTCCTGAATTAACATAGTGGCACAATTCCTGAACTGACATAGAGACACAATTCCTGAACTTAGATAGAGACACAATTCCTGAACTTACATAGAGACACAATTCCTGAACAACTTACACAGAGACACAATTCCAGAACTTACATAGAGGCACAATTCCTGAACTTACATAGAGACACAATTCCTGAACTTACATAGAGGCAAAATTCCTGAACATACATAGAGACACAATTCCTGAACTGACATAGAGGAACAATTCCTGAATTAACATAGTGGCACAATTCCTGAACTGACATAGAGACACAATTCCTGAACTTACAAAGAGACACAATTCCTGAACAACTTACACAGAGACACAATTCCAGAACTTACATAGAGGCACAATTCCTGAACTTACATAGAGGCACAATTCCTGAACTTACATAGAGGCACAATTCCTGAACTTACATAGAGGCACACATGAGCATGGCCTGCGACTCGATGCCCCTCATCTTGACAGGCTTGAGGTTGCACAGGAACACGCCCACTCTGTCCTGAAGGCTTTCCATGGGCACCAGACCGGCCAGCCCGCTGATGACCGTGCGGGGCTCCGACTCTCCCAGATCCACCGTCTCCACGTACAGTGAGTCCGCGTCAGGATGCTGGGGGCAAAGGAACATTGGAGAAAAATGTTAGCCATAGGGGTGAAATCAGGCGCTGGTCAAAATAATGAAATCAAAGAAATCTGCATTTTTTTGGCCGATGGGCAATTTTTTTCTAATATTCTTTTTTTTTGGCTCAATACCTTTGTGGTAATTTAAAAAGAGAGTTATACTGAAAAACATAGATTAAAGGAACAAAAAAACATAAATTTTCAGTTTCCGAGGACTCTCAGGCTATGGAAGTTACCAAACTTTGGCGGCCATTTTCTCGCTACTTTCACCTAAAAAAACAGGCAGCCCTGACCTCCTTCAATCGCAAATACTTCGACTTCTATTCAACATAGATGGATTTTTTTCCCACCAAAATGAAGGCAAATGAACAGGCTTTAAGATGATGCCGAAAACTTCATATGCCCAAAAATAGACGAGCGCCTGATTCCACCACGTCGTGACACAAATCAGTGTCAGGAAGCTGGGGCAAAGGAACATTGGAGAATAAACAGTGTCAGGATGCTGGGGCAAAGGAGCATTGGAGAAAAATCAGTGTTCGGATAATGGGGCAAAGGAACATTGGAGAAAAATCACAGCCAATCGCTACAAAGTTTTTTTTTGTAGAAAAGAAAAAAAAAGGTATTTTCACTGAAAATTATTTTTCTACAGTTGGTCATTTCAGAAATCTGAGAAAAGAGGTAGCACTGGAGAAGAAAAGGACATGTGCCAGAAACGTATCAGCTTGTCACTCACATGGGCCATCAACAGAAAACACCGGAGAAAAAAAGAACTGCTTACTGCAGAAAAAAAAGAACTGCTGAGAGAAAACCTATCCCATGGCAGAGAGTATTTCTTTTAATTTCAATTGTCGTTTTTGTTAATAATGACATTCTTCGTTTTCATGTTTCAGCCAGGATTTGACAACAATAATGTTCACCGACAGACACACACAAGCAACAAAGTTCACAAACAGACCACACACAAGCAACAAAGTTCACCGAAAGACACACACAAAAACAATAAAGTTCACAGAAAGACACACACACAAGCAACAAAGTTCACCGACAGACACACACAAGAAATGATGCCACAAACACAGGCCAGGGACTCCCCCCATTCAGTACCTGAGACACTGCTGTGATTTTGCCCACTCTCAAGTCCAGACGTGAAGGAACCACTTCGTCACCTCCCGCTGCAGCAGCTGGTGAAGCTGCGGCTCCTTCTGTTGAATGCAAAAACAACAATATATTCAGACTTTCACAAAAAAAA